ACTTCTCACGGCCACTCTGAGGCTCGCTTTAAGTCTGGCTGCGTCTCCCAGCTGACGGTCGGGGAAACATCTGCCCCTGACTGAGACCAGAGCAGATGTGCAAACACTTCTGGGTCATTTCAAGGCAAACGCCAGGCTGTTGGCCGAGAGCGACAAACACGCTGCTCTCAGCGTCTCCATGTAGACGCTATCAGAGGAGATAAGAAGAGCGGCTGTGTGTGCGCTCAGTCCAGGAAGTGCTGGAACAAACGCAGCAGCTCTGAAACTTCCTCTGAAGTAAGAGACCGACAGCAGCTACGAGGCCGCCGCCACAGCCGCCATTCAAAGTGTCTCCTGTCTGATCTCACAGAGCGTGTGCGCAACAGAGCGCGTGCACAACGGAGCGCGTGCACAACGGAGCGCGTGCACAACGGAGCGCGTGCACAACAGAGCGCGTGCACAACAGTGCAGCGCTGACACGTCCACCTAACGTGGATTCACTAACACGACTCAGCGACATGTTCCCGCTGAGTGAACAACGGGCTGGGAGGTCAGGTTATAAGTGTCATAACCACTGATCAGGTGAGCACAAACACATGCAACACTGCAGAGGGAACGAGGCTCAAACCTGTGTGTAAATCATGCTTATGGAAGTTTGATGCACAGATCAGATGCATCAATACTTCCATACCTGACAGTGTTTACACAAAAGTGCCTCATACAGCACAACAACAATAATGATGACATCAACAACAGAAGGTGTGGACTTCAACCTTTGGCTCTAAGAATGCTCAGCAGTGCTTTCACTCAGTCTGATGTCCTGCACGAGGTCCCTGTGGAGACCCTGATGACCTCACTGCTGTGACTGTCAGCTCAGGCTGGAGATCAGCTGCTCGTCTTTCACGACTCACTTTTTGGGTTTGTTTTTGACCCGAGCGGCAGCGAGTGTCTCGGCTAAATTAACAACGTTGGTAGAAATTGTGTTAATATGTCAAGCAGTGAAACAAACTCCTGACATCTCACTGCAGCTCGTGCACTAGTGCACGAGCTGCAGGAGCTGCAGGAGCTTTGATCACCACAGTCAAACCTGCACAACTATTGTTACCTTAGTTATACACAGAGAAGCAGGACTGAGGGCATTCCTGACATGACTGCACAGCACAAACGTTCACAAAGCTTCACTCAGAACTGCACACACAATGATGACAAACACTGCTACACACTCACTACCCACTGACACTCGTCTTCAGTCCACTCATTGGTCAGAGGAGTCTGGGAGGCAGCACCAACAGTCCATACAGGAAGAAGGTGCTGTGTGTCCCCCAGCAGCTCCATGTCACATGTGCTGTTTAACATGTGACTCACTGAAACCGACGCAGTCAAATATCAGGCAGAAGTGCCGGG